AGTGTTTAAATACCGCATTGTTTCTCTGATGTGAGAAACTGAAAGTGGAAATAAGGACTAAAGTCTACAGTAGCTATTGGGAAATGGGGGAAAAAATGTTCAAATGAGAAAGGGAGCAAGAGGGGGGGAGAGGGAAAGAAAAGAAGGGACAAGGAAAAGAAAAGAAAATCGAAGGAAAAAATGGAAACAAAATTTTTATATATAAGGGGGAGCAAATAGGGAAAAAAAAGAAGAAATAAGATACATCATGTACTGGTACAAATTCCCTATGATGAATGTTATCATTATGTTTATCTAAAATGTACCAATAAATGTTTTTCTAAAAAAAATGAAAAGAGGGCCAGGGATTTAGCTTAGTGGTTCCACCACCTGCCTCACAAGTGTAAGGACCCGAGTTCAGTCCCTTGTACCAATAAATAAATAAATAAATAAATAAGAAAGAAAGAATCTAGAGGATTCTTTATTTTTAAAAATCTACTATATATCTCTGGAATAGTCTTTACTTTCTCAGAATTTAACTCTCTCATAAGAACCTTAAAACCACTGTAATCAAGTTGGGTGTGGGGGTATGCCCCTGCAAAGCTGCTTGAGAGTCTGAGACTGAGTTTGAAGCCAGATTAGACAACATAGTGAGATCCTTGTCTTAAATAAAAAATTGAAATAAACAATGATAAACAAAAGTTATGTTACAACTACTGCCTTGAAGGGAAATAGGGTTCTGTGATAAAACACATAAGAGTTAGCACTGGGCTCCTGAAATTTTTTTTGTTTTTGTTTTTGGTAGTTATGGAGATCCAACCCAGTGCCATACACATGCTGAGCACACCCTCTACTGAGCATATTCCCAGCCCTAAAATTTTATAATAAGTAAAGTAGATAAAGCACATTTACTATTAGCTTAATGAATTGTACTTATGTGTATACACATATAATCACCACCCAGATACACATATATAAACATTTGCAGTACCCTAGAAGTTTTCCTTATGGAGTAAGATTTTTTTAGGGGGGGAATCAAACTTGGGACCTTGTGCTTGCGAAGCAGGCAGTGGAACCACTGAGCTAAATCCCCGGCCCTGGAGTACGATATTTTTTATAAATGAATTAAATAGTACGTTTGCTTACAGTGAGGATAAGAGAGACCAGTTATGTGAAAGTGAGGAAAAGAGGACTGTAGGCAGAGGAATAAAATGGAAAGATCTTAGCTTATTTGAGGACGGAAGGAAGGCGATACTGGTTCAGCCAGGGAGAGATCAATGAATTGAGAGGTTGGAGAGATGAAGAGGTAGATTGTGAGAGGCATCAAAGGCCATGGGGAGGAACATGGACTGAATTCTGAGCGCAATGCTAAATCATTAAATGGTGTTAGAGCAATGCCAGGATTATAGTTAGGTGAAGTAGCTGTCAGTCTGGCTGCTTTGTGGTAAATGGGTTAGCTTGGGTCTAAATACAGAGTCCACCAAAAAAATGTATGCACACTTCAGCAGTTCACCATACTAATAAATATCTGGAATCTAATGACCACCACTTTGAGTGCCTCTTGTAATTGTAGAGGCCTAAAGTAGCTTGTATTAATCTCATGATGTCTAATAAATTAAAATATTTATACAAGCTTTTCTTTCCTGATGTATATTTTTTTGATGGACTCTGTAGAAGCAAAGATAAATAGTATATTCATACCTAGGAGATTTAACGTTATTTTCACATTTTATTTCTCAGTAAAATGATAAGAACCACATGACTTCAAGAATCATCACAGAAGGGATGTATTTTTTCTCATATGGAAATTAAATATCATAAGTTACAGAGAAAGGATTGCAATTTTTCTTCATCAGGTGGTTATTGTAAATTTTTGCCAGCCGATCAGTAAGAGTAAGAAAACAGTTTTAAAATGTATTAACTTATAGGAAATTTTATTATAAAAATATTTTAGAACCCTTTTAGTAGTATATCTGACAGCCATTAAATCGAGTCATGGTCTCTCATAATTGTTTTGATTACTGTTTATTACTTGTGCTGATCAGCGTTCATTGAAGTTTCTGATTTTATATGTAGAGAGAGAGAGGAAAGTGGATATCTTTGAAAGCAATTTTAATAGTGTCTCAGTGTACGATTTTAAACATTTGGAGTTAATGATCATAGGAGTACTACAGCTACAAATTTAAAATATTTTGCAAGCAGCTTCCTTCCTCTCTCAAAAAAAAGTTTGGATTGACTACTGTGCAATTAATTGCATTAATTACTTTCTGAAAAAGGATTGTTATTGTCATGCTGACAGTTGTTATTGTTGTGCTTTTTTTTACTTATATCTTTCCTTTTTAGCTTTTTTTTTCCTTAAATTCTTTTATTGGTACATTTTAGGTATACAACACAATTACATTTCTCATTGGGAACTTGTACCTTTACATGATGCATCTTGGTTCTTATTTTTTCCCCATTCCTAGCCCTCCTTTTTAGCTTTTGATGTTTTGTTTTGTTTTGTTGGTTCTGGGGATCGAACTCGGGTCCTTGTGCTTGCACAGCAGATGGTGAAACCACTGAGCTAAATCCCCAACCCAACTTTTGATGTTTTGAAACAACTTTCTTAGCTTTTGATATTTTTGAAACAGTTATCTCCAAATAAGCAATTAAAAAACTTAAAAAATCACAGAAAACATCCAATACTTTTTGGTTATTCTTTTTAAATTATTTTTTAAAAACACACCTTTGCCTTTTAAAGTACCTTTTTAAATTCATACTAGGCTTAAAAGAGCCAAGTTTCCAATACTTATCTTTTCCATGAAGTATTGGATATTCCTAAAAACTAAATAATTTAATCTTTTAAAAATCTTAATACCAGATCTTATTTCTTATTA